ATTTAGTGTTACTAGAATCACATGATACATTATCGGGAAGAGCATATATATAGTGTTACTAGAATCACATGATACATTATCGGGTAGAGCATATATATAGTGTTACTAGAATCACATGATACATTATCGGGTAGAGCATTTATATAGGTCTACTAGACTCCCATATACATTATCGGGTAGGGCATATATATAGTGTTACTAGAGTCCATGATACATTATTTGGTAGAGCATATATATAATGTTTCTAGAGTCCTATGATACATTGTCGGGTAGAGCATAAATATAGTGTTACTAGAGTCATATGATACATTGTCGGGTAGAGCATATATATAGTGTTACTAGAGTCATATGATACATTGTCGGGTAGAGCATAAATATAGTGTTACTAGAAACACATGATACATTATCGGGTAGAGCATATATATGACTAGAGTCCTATGATACATTATCGGGTAGAGCATAAATATAGTGTTATTAGAAACACATGATACATTATCGATAGGGCATATATATAGTGTTACTAGACTCACATGATACATTATCGGGTAGAGCATTTATATAGGTCTACTAGACTCCCATATACATTATCGGGTAGAGCATATATATAGTGTTACTAGAGTCCCATGATACATTATCGGGTAGAGCATATATATAGTGTTACTAGAATCACATGATACATTATCGAGTAGAGCATTTATATAGGTCTACTAGACTCCCATATACATTATCGGGTAGGGCATATATATAGTGTTACTAGAGTCCCATGATACATTATTTGGTAGAGCATATATATAATGTTTCTAGAGTCCTATGATACATTGTCGGGTAGAGCATAAATATAGTGTTACTAGAAACACATGATACATTATCGGGTAGAGCATATATATGACTAGAGTGTTATGATACATTATCGGGTAGAGCATATATATAGTGTTACTAGAGTCCCATGATACATTATCGGGTAGGGCATATATATGACTAGAGTGTTATCATACATTATCGGGTAGAGCATATATATAGTGTTACTAGAGTCCCATGATACATTATCGGGTAGAGCATATATACAGTAAAACTAGAGTCCAATGATACATTATCGGGTAGAGCATTCATATAGTAATACTAGAGTCCAATGATACATTATTGGGTAGAGCATATACATAGTGTGTCTAGAGTCATATGATACATTGTCGGGTAGAGCATAAATATAGTGTTACTAGAAACACATGATACATTATCGGGTAGAGCATATATATAGTAATACTAGAGTCCAATGATGCATTATTGGGTAGAGCATATATATTGTTTCTAGAGTCCTATGATACATTATCGGGTAGAGCATATATATAGTAATTCTATAGTCCAATAATGCATTATTGGGTAGAGCATATATATTGTTTCTAGAGTCCTATGATACATTGTCGGGTAGAGCATAAATATAGTGTTACTAGAAACACATGATACATTATCGGGTAGAGCATATATATGACTAGAGTCCTATGATACATTATCGGGTAGAGCATATATATAGTGTTACTAGCGTCCCATGATACACTATCGGGTAGAGCATATATATACTGTTACTTGAGTCCCATGATACACTATCGGGTAGGACATATATATACTGTTACTAGAGTCCCATGATACATTATCGAGTAGAGCATATATATAGTAATACTAGAGTCCAATGATACATTATCGGGTAGAGCATATATATAGTGTTACTAGAGTCCCATGATACATTATTTGGTAGAGCATGTAGATGACTAGAGTCCTATGATACATTATCGGGTAGAGCATATATATAGTGTTACTAGACTCCCATGATACATTATTGTGTAGAGCATATATATAGTGTTACTAGAGTCCCATGATACATTATCAGGTAGAGCATATATATAGTGTTACTAGAATCACATGATACATTATCGGGTAGAGCATATATATAGTGTTACTAGAATCACATGAAAAATTATCGGGTAGAGCATATATATTGTGTTACTATAGTCCCATGATACATTATCGGGTAGAGCATATACATAGTGTTACTAGAATCACATGATACATTATGGGGTAGAGCATATATATGTCTGACTCTAATGTGCGATGGTACTCTAAAGTGCGATGGTCACGCTAAAGTGCGATGTATACGCTTAAGTGCGATGGTGTCAAACGCTAAAGTGCGATGGTATGACACGCTAAAGTGTGAAGGTATAGCACGCTAAAGTATGATGGTTTAACAGGGATGGGGTTGCGGCAATGTTTTTCGTTTGTTTCAGTGTTCCTATTATTGTACTTTTCGTTTATTATTATGTTTATTAATCAAGCCGTTGTCTTTCTCTACTTATTTGTTTTTAAATTTACACTGGCCCTATGTATATATAATATATAGATTGCTATGCGGCGCAGGCTAAGGCTCCACGTTAAAGGCCGTAGTTATCAGCTGCATATATAAACGACATTTGGTCTTGGGCATATATGTGTCTCATATTTTTTATTCAAAGTACGATATTTGTCAAAAAAGTGTAATGGGTACATTGCAGCTGCTAGTATAATTATACGTTCAAGTTAGAATACTATGCGATGAAAGCCAATGCTTCGCGTTAAAGGCCATGCGGTAACCTAAAGTTGCTTACATTAAACACAGTTGGTCTATCTGGTCGTTAGAATATTGTCTAGTTGGCGTATATCCATATCTTTAACAGAAATAACGAACCATATTGTAAAAAAAATGTTTTATATAATGATTCCATTAGAAAGTAAAAAAAAAGACTTTATTTCACGCAAGTTCATAACATCTGATTACAAACATAGAAGAAACTGCTAAATTAAAATTGGACGAATTTAATTCCTCAACATCCAAGTGAGCCATCTCCAGAATCTCCTTTTCCTCTTAAAGTAAATTATATTTTGTAACCTTAACATGAATAGTAGAAATACTAAAATTTATTCAGAATAAATGATCAAATGATCATGTGTATGATCGTCCTGTTTATGCATGTGCTATTTGCCACTGTACGTTCAACAAGCAACAATAAGTTTCTATTACTTTATCAATCAATTTTACCGAACTACTGAAAAATATGGTTATCAAAGTGTTTCATACACATCGTCACAATTAAGGTAATTCGCTTTTTCATTTTTGTTGATTTCCATTGTTGTCGGGAAAACGCACTTTAGCGTATTGAGCCATCGGACTTTAGTGTGTTTCATTTAATAACACAGACCATCGTACTTAAGCGTATCAAACCATTGCACTTTAGCGTAGACCATCGCACTTCAGCATGACCATCGCGTTTTAGCGTCCCCATCGCACTTTAGAGTCCTACATATATAGTGTTTTATTTCAAGTGACACTGATGAACCTAATGTATAGACGTGCGTCTAACAAACAGAAAAAATAAGCCGGATACCTTTGACGAATTCTTACAATTACTGGGTTGATGCAACTGTTGGCAGACGTCTCGTCCCCGAGGATAGCACAGCCCAATTGTCGTAACTTTTGTTTTGACATGAAAATATAATTAAGATGTTTATCTAAAATGTTCATTTACTATTTATCAACTTTTGAGTTGTTTGAAACACTTAAGTTGTCCAATTCTAGATACAGATAGCCTCAGCTGTTTTTCTGGCACAACTTTTTGTCGACTTTTTGGTTGGTATTACTCCGCAACTTTGGATTTGATTTGGCCTACCACATGTATCTATTCGGATGTCACTAATGAGTCTTATGTAGACTACACTCGCAGTTAGCATACACCATTGTAAGTCTGGTTTCATAGGGGATTTTTGTCAACTGCTGGAATGACGTCTATGCCAATTGTGGTTTTTCCCACAGCTCAGTAGTCAGAATTTTTATGTTGACCAGAAATTTCTTCAGTATGTATATTTTGTGTTAATTTACTATTCAAACAATTATAAATGATTTGACGCAGTACGGTTGTTAACCCCATGTATAGATTGCATAGCCGTATTTTGAGCAACTATTTGTAATTTTAGGTTAATGGATTTATATGTTGGCATGAAATATCATCGGTATGTTTTTGTGTGGTAAATGTACTGTTCAAACAATTATAAATGATTAGAAACAATTAGGTTGTAAACCCCTATTTGTAATTTTATGTTTATTGATGTCTACAACTTTTGGTTTATCAAATGGTTTAATTTGAGCGGCACTGCTGGATATTATGTAAACGAAACGTTCGTCTACACCCACTGGATCAATGCCATGGATAGTGGATGTTTCGTAATAGTGGGTATCACTAGCACAGTAGTCAGCAGTTTTGAGCTTTAATGACATATCATTGATATGTTATTTTTCTGTAATTTTCTTTCATACAATGTTGAATTATTTAAAGTCTAAGATATGTATACCAAAAGGTATAGATTGCATCAACCGTATATAGCACAACTGTTTTGAATTTGTTTGTGTATCAAGCTCTACAATTGAGGAATTTGTTTGCTTTCCAAGTGTTTAATTCGTAGCCACTGACGAGTCTTATGTAGACTAACGCGCGTCGGTTGGACACAGTTATAAGCCTCGTATATTTGATGAGTTTTTACAATTACTAGGTTAATGCCACCGCTGTGAAAAGTTAAGTCCACGAGGGAATCACAGCCAAGTGAGCTGCACTTTTGTGTTGAAATGACATTTCATTGATATGTTTACGTTCTGTCAATAAACTCTATTTAACATGTTAAGGTTTTCGAAAGACTGATGCTTTTCAACTTACAGGTACAACTTTTGTACTTTTCGGAATAAAATTATAATTGATGAGTGTTGTCAATACGATATTCAGTTCACAAATGGTTCAAATGTGACGCATGTACGTCATCATTGTTACTCCTTATAGTGGTATCATCTGTTAACAAATCTAGCAGTGATTTGTCATGTAAAAGTGTCAAATTATTGTTTTATAGCCTACACAAAATCTGTATCAGCATTTGAAGTTACCGTAATCAATGTTAGTCTATGACGATGCCTCTACATGAGTTAGTTATAATTAGGTTTGTGTCAAACGTTTCTGTAACTCCTGCATAATCTCAGTTTGGTTGACTTCGACTAAAAATCGAGTGAAGAGAGAGTTGGTGTCTTTCTTAATAACTTTGTAATGAAGACTATTCAGTCCATCAATGTTAAAATAGTCGTTGCTTTTTTCCAGCATTGTCCATCTGAAAAAAAAACCAGAAGCATTCATAGCATTTGCTTGATATAAGGCAATAGCAGTTTGCTAACGTTCGAAACTTGTAAACTCGTTTAAGCATACAGATAAAAAAGAAAGGAAAAACGGGGAAAATAGTATGAACCCAAAAAGATGGGATCGAGATGGCAAGTAAGTCACTTTCTTCTTCCGTGAATCGTACGTTCACTGTACAGTGCTCCGCTGTCGCTTGTATAACGTTCTTGCATAGTCCGTGCATCAATGGCATAACATTTGTACAGCTTTCATTTAACGTTTGTACGTGTAAATATTTCGGTCACCGTTTATGTCGTCGTTTAACGTTTCTGTTTATCATGTTGTATTTGATATCGTTTACCGTTTCTGTTTATCATGTTGTATTTGATATCGTTTACCGTTTCTGTTTATCATGTTGTATTTGATATCGTTTACCGTTTCTGTTTATCATGTTGTATTTGATATCGTTTACCGTTTCTGTTTATCATGTTGTATTTGATATCGTTTACCGTTTTGTGTTTATCATGTTGTATTTGATATCGTTTACCGTTTCTGTTTATCATGTTGTATTTGATATCGTTTACCGTTTTGTGTTTCGTATTGTTTTGTTTTTCCTTTACTCAAATTTAAAGTAAAATCTAGTAGTGATAAATAAAACAAATAATTTCCTACATATTCAAATTGTAGATAATAAAAAAAAAAACAAAAACAAAACAATATTAGTTACGATAAATTTAGTTTGTGTTGACTCGTCATTATAAATTCTGATTTCTAAACTGTTACTTTGAATATGAAATTTATTTCGTATCAAATATAATATGAATAGCATTTTTAAGTCAATATTTATGAAATGGGGGGAGGGGGAAATAACTAATCCTTAGATTAAACTAGACATATGTAATCTTATTTGGAATCATGTAGCTATTAAAAAAAAACCAAAAAAACAACACATAAAATTGGTATAGAACCTTTGATCTTAATCAACGAACCAGTTTCCGTAAAATTGTAAACAAAAATCGAATTAAATGTGGTGCCCGACAGAATTAATATCAAAAACACTTTCATTTCAATGTTGAAAGTACGAAATCGTTTGAAAACCTATGAAATGCAAAACTACGTATGTTTGCAGTAAAGTCAATAATGTTTTTGGATATGTAAGTTATACAAACTGCTGTATATGATATTTCCAAAGTTCTAAAGCCGCATAAATGAAACGAAAACGAAAACCAAGATTCAATTGTTTTGACTGAAAAAGACATGGCAACCGCCGTGTGTATTTATTTTACTCAATGTCAAAATCGGAAATTCCTCAAGGATTGATGAGGGTATATAATAGAATCATCCTTAGTATATGGCTCCCGTCCAGTAGTCCAACCCTTACTACAATGGGACGTCCCTTTAGACAAACTGTGTTTAAAAATACGCTTTATACACTTCGGTATAAAGGAAATATTTTATCTGATGCATTGTTTCAGATAGAAACGGCAAAAATTTCATACAATTACAAGGACAGAAAGTCCGGTGAGATATAATTTGAATTTTCCTCAAATAAATTATGTTTATAAAAAAGATCATAGTACATTGTAAGAAATGATCATAGATTATTTTAACTGTTATCTTAAATTCTGCAACTCATTTCAAAAATAATGTTATTCTTAAAGTAAATAAGTCATGATATTTTCAATATATATATTACGATCCGCTTTCGTGGTAAGATATTTTGTGAAAACGCTTCCTTGATATAAGTAGGGTCTTGCACCGAGCATTCCTGGAGATTAAAAGAATTACTATTTTACAAAACTGAAATCTAAAATATAATTAGGACGCAATAAAAATCTTAATGGTGGTCGCATAAAATGCTTAATAAAGGCAACAGTAGTATACCGCTGTTCAATAGTCATAAATCGATAAAGTGAAAACAAATCCGGGTCACATACCAAAACAATGAACTAAATAATAAATTATAAAAATATACATATAGTATAAATTATTGATTTATATTAAACTCGTCCTTTATATGATCGAAATGTTTGCAAGCAACATATCGACTACCATATCTTCCTATTGCTTCATCAAAAAGTGAAAACAAAACTTAGAATAACTTATACAGAAATAAGAAGCACATTATATCAATTTCAATCTAATGACAAATCTTTTCTTTGAGCCTTATTTTCATTACATTTTAATTCAATTTAACAATAATCTGATTTTGTCGAGTTGCGGTATTTTCTCCAAACCTAATGGTTATGGTTAATTTTCTGAAACCTCTAACGGTTTTTGAAAAAGAACGAAACGCTCTTTGAGTATAACCTGGCTAATTATTTTTGATCAGACACCATTGACGTTCTTCAAAGTCTGAGTTGCAGCTGCAAGCTCTTGAACATCGTATGGGTCGATACATGCATTACCTAAGGCGATTGGTTTAATTAACATATTTGAAATCAATATACTCTGATACGGTTATGTCCGTTCGATACCAGTTCGAGGTATGTGTCTACAAATTAGACAGATGAAGCTGTGTATGTGATGTCTTAAATTTCTAGTTCACAAAGAGAAAATAATTGGACCCAATCAGAAAAAAATGATTGTTAATGGCGAGAACATCATCAATATACGTGTCTTTGAACTTCATGACTTAGCTTCTTTTGTCTTCAAGTATCTGTATGAATCCTACGCAAATGGACATGAAAAAATGTCGGCAAGGAGAGTTGTACAGACAATTCTAATAGAAATGCGGAAACTTCAGTAAACTGATTATTTGATTCAGCATTTTGCATCTTCGGATTCATTTTTGCAAAACAATAAATGTGCAGCGTATGGTATCATTTTATAATGAAGACGAATGTAAATCATTTCTTTCAGAAGGTGCACGGTGTCTGAGTGGTCTAAGTAGTTCAATTGCTGTATCACTAGCCTTTCAACACTGAGGTTCCAAGGTTAAGCCCTACACCTGACAGGTGCTTTCGACTTTAATCTTAATTGACTAGGATTGTTAGTCGTCATACCGAAGTTCGGAGGTTCTCTCCCGGCACTTCGGTTTCCTTAGACGCCAGGAAAAAGCCAACAATACATGCTGAAAGTGGCGATAAAAAGAATCAATCATTTAAGCAATTGTTTCTTTAAGGCGGCCTGTCAATAACTCATATGGTATTCATGTGTAAATGGGATAAAAACTGAAGGTTGTGTCAGAGACGGACCACTATCAAAATGTCAATAAGTTTTTTAGGGTCCTTCCGAACCCACATATGGTTAATGGAAATACAGTGTTTTACCTTTTTTGGTGAGTTTACTAGAATTTTAACATTAGAGAGATTGAATAATATACCCGTTGAAATGCTGACGTTATTGTGATGACATAATGTGGCATAGCCCAACAGAATTCAGTCTATTATCCTCATAGAAATTTCATTGGGGTCTAAATATTGTAACAATGCACACAAGTTTCACGTACCGATGGAAACACGAACAATTGTCACACGTTAGACGATGGGTCAGACGACGTACTTCTTCGGACAATTTATATGAAAACAACTCGATAATGATATATCATGACTGGTTTTAAAAAAAATATATCTTTTATTCAATTATCTTATGATGTGTAAGGTTTAATTCAGTTTATAATTGTCAAAAATGTCAAAATTGGAGTAAGACATTATCAATAAATGTAAATGTATATATCAGATACATTAATGTGAGACAGATATTTCATATTAGTCAACCAAATCGTGATATAAGCCGTAAAACTTATGCTTTGCAGATTTCATTATGTTATCCCCATAGCCAAGTTGGAGATAACTTTTGTCATAAGCAAAATCTTTTTATTGGAGTCTAAATAAAGTGAAAATGCACGCGTTTCACGTATGAATGGAGACACGAACAATAATCAAACGATGGGTCAGATGATGTGCTACTTCAGACAATTGATATGATAACAACATGGTATAAATTTCATGCGTCCGAAGCGCTTTTCTTCCTTTAACTTTATCAGGAACACTCAAAGCCAATATTTGAAAGCCAAGGATGCATTAAAACCGAAACAGCTGGAGAGTTATCCATCTGTGTCAATATAAGAATTTGAAGCAGACCTTCTAGTTTGGTAATATTCTTAGTTCCTCTATAAGACGAATATGTGGAATGATTGCCAATTAGACAACTTTCAAATAACGCAGTTATAATGCATGTACGGCTGCAACAATGAGACAAACCTGCTCATACTTACTCAAATGTAAAGAATTGGTTATTTCCGCAGGAGTGTAATGTTAATCTTTTTTTTTCATTTTTGAATACATCTTTTAGAGATAAAGAATCGTTTATGAGTAGGTGTGAAGATGTGGAATATTAATTCATACATTACAAGAGTGTAATAGATATTAAGCTTCAAACCTTAATGAATCGACTGTAGTGAATCACTTCACAATAAACCTATCTTGAAGACTGTGTTCTTTGTCGAAATTAGTTTGTGTGAGAATATTGACAAATTAGAAGTTGACTCCGTCACCGTCGAAGACCCAGTTTATAATTGATCACTATCTGATTATATATCAATGTGCAAAAAAAGATCCGGAGATACAAAGACAACATGTTTGGTCCGTTGTAGTAACGACTACTGCATTGATTGAAAATGAGAAGTAAGGAATCACTGAGATTGGGTGTGACATCACTTTCTCAATTTATTTTAACAGACGACAGACATGTGTTGTGTCATGGATGGATATCCCATATCCCTTGTTTTTCTATTATAGTAGAACAAATCGGTTTGGTGTTTGGATTCCTTTGTGAGGCATAACTTTTAAGCCTATATCATAAGCCAAGACTGCGCTAGCCATATATCATACTATAATTGAAGAAAGATGCATTATTAGGCGTCTTTGCTTGTTTAAAAGGTTAGACTCGTGTTTGCAAAAAGTGTATTGATTAGCGATTAGTAGATATTCTTTCTGCTTGACCGAAACTACATTGATTTTTAAGATGCAGTGGCAATTTCTTTCTTATTGTGTTACGGGCATAACTGTCACTTTCGTCAACTTTATCCCTTTTACATTTGATAATTTCCAACTGAAGCTTTTTTAAATAAAATAAAAAACCTCTGTGTTTTTTAAATTTGATGGGTAGGGTAATAAAAATATTATAGGACACACTTCCCACTTCTTTGATTACGTAGCTGTGACAGCAACATAATAAGCGTATAAACAATAGGTTCATAAGTTCAAGGTTGGCAACTATAAGATTACCTCATTGTATTAATTTCATTTCCATTGTCCGGTCCATGTTTGAGCATCTTGTAACGGCCTACATCTATTGAATATCGACTCACATTAAAACCCGCTTTTTCAATTCTACAAACACAAATAAAGGTCATAAACAGGAAAATGTCTTAAAGCCTAATACATGCTTTTAGAACAGTACATTTACATGATACGCTGATTGACTATATCAAACGACAGTAAAATAGATAGATTGGTTGTGTCAAAACCCTGTCAACTAGTATTACAAACGTTATGTATTGATACTGAATGCAACGAAAAAGCAGTGTCATAGGTTCAGTTTTCAATTCTATATGCTCCTCTGTTTGTTCTTGTATGAGGGATTACTATTATCACAGTGTATGCTCATAGGGTGTATTTTTTTCAAATATAGCCCCAATCATAAGAATTGTATTACATAATTCCGTCAATATGAATGCATTTCTTTTTTTCTAAAAAAAAATTCAGTATTACCTTCAAAATCGATGATTAACAACTGTACAGTTTGAAGCACATTTTTTTCAAACGATAATTTACTATGTTTCAGTTATTATTCATACTGATATATCGTACCATAATTAGAAGCATTAGCTAACTTTCCAAAATCAAGATTAGTATCTAGACACTCAGCGAATTTATAAAAGCAAAATTGTACGAAACGTTTCGACACTGTTAGCTTGAGGACAAATATTTTTGTTTAAAGTATGAAGGTGTATTTAATACCAGATCGAGGTTCCAGTTGCTAGTATACAGTAGCGACCTTTTCATGAAGAAACTATTATGTTACCTCAACCACATATCATCATCCTCTCCTCCCCAACCAAAGTATCTGTTGGGGAATCCGTTCACTTTCTGGAATTGTTCCTTTGTCATCGCAGAAACTCCACCATATATGTTATTGTAAGGTAAACTAAGGAAAAAATGCATCGTATAAATAAAAAAAATAATATGAATAATTATTTAACAATGAATCTAAGGTATAGGTATATATATATTTTAACCATAACAAAAAACCACTTTAAAGCCATTATAACAATTGTGCTTTAACTTGTTTCGTTAACACACACACACACACACAAATATTTACAAACATGGTTTCTGAGAGATTTGTATGAATCATATAAATCAATTAAAAATATGTTTTGACTGTTTTAAAAGGCATATTTTTGTTGAAAGTCACATGATAAAATAACATGTTCAGGAAAGGTATTACAAAAACACTGATAACAAAATACAAAGTCTCAATCTCATTTCTATAACTAGGAGCTAATTACAAAAATAGGATCGTTTACTCTTGAGATACATAATAGATATAAAAACAATGGCCTTCGGTTGTTTTCTGCTCTGAGGTCGGGTTGTTGTCTCTTTGACAAATTCACCGTTTCCATTGTCAATTTGAATGTATTTGTTTGTCCCTTTATTTACCTGTAATTAAAAATATCAATTGCGACAGACAAATGTCTTGGATGTTTAGAACAAGTGTACATGTTTCTGTCATTTTCGGGAATCAAGTCTACATCATGAAACACAATACATTGATAGTCGTCATGTTCCAAGGCTTTAACAAAACCAATATTCATCAGCATTGCCCGATTAAACTTTGAATTTCCGCCCTGAAGAAGATATTATATTGAGTATGAATGGCATTCATCATATTCATTGAATAATTTGAATACTTTGTGAATTTATACACTTATACATTGACAGGAACATAACAAACATGCCAAAGATAAAATACGTGAAGTATTAAGATTCAATGAAGAATAAAATGGCAATCTGAACTCAGTGCAATTTGAAACGTTGCAGAATATTTCAAGTTACTAACTCCTGTTTAAATTAAAAGATAAGTTGATTTGTTCCTGTGAGTATTTTGAAATGTTAACGCATTTGACAGGAACCTATTGTGTGTACACCACAGACACACTACAGAAAAAATATTTACACAGTAATTGGACACTCTTACATCGGAGTTTTTTTATGGTATGTTTTTGTTGTCAATCCTTCTTTATATTTCACTGCATCCTTGAATTTCACGTTTCATTCAATTCCTCTATATCTATAGCATGGACATTGGTTATCACATACCGAATTAAACATATCGTGGTTAACATAATGTTCCTTCATTTCTAAGTTCGTTGTCTGGAAATTTGACGGGGAAATAATTTGGGCAATATTAAAGTGTCGTTCGTGGTCAAATAGTAGAAATCTGACCTAATATGTCCACCATTAATGTATTTAAAGCTAAATTGTATTAGTCTTAAGTATCATTTGCTTTTTTAGCAAATTTTGTTTTTATTTTAATGATTTTATTCTACTTTACAGCTCTCAATCATTTTTCATTTATTCGTCTCAAACTACTTAGTAAAATGTTATGAACTTGATTATTTATGTTATGAACTTGATTTTTTATGATTAATTGTGTTTGGTTTTTAATAAGCTTTAAGTAACTGCGAGTATTCTCAAATCATACTTTCGTGTTAATTTGACCTGTTGGCACAATTTGTAATGCATTTCTGTTATTCAATGTTTACTTATTTTGTGTTATATCTCGTCTCTCTATTTTTAATATGTACCACCACAAAACACCAACCGAAATGGCCCAACTTTTGTGTTGTGGTGTTACACTGCTGTTCCGGGTTAGGGTGAGGGTTGGCTCCTTTTGAAACGTTTAAACCCGCTTCATTTGAGTGCACCTGTCCAAAGTCAGGAGCCTGTTGTTCAGTGGTTGTCGTTTGTTGGTGTGGTTCATAAGTGTTTCTCGTTTCTCGTTTTTTTATATAGATTAGACCGTTCGTTTTCCTGTTTGAATTTTTTTACAATAATCATTTTGGGCCATTTATAGCTTCTGTTCGTTGCGAGCAAAGGCTCCGTGTTGAAGGCCGTGCTTTGACCTATAATTGTTTACTTTTTACACATTGTGACTTGGATGGAGAGTTGTCTCATTGGCATTCATACTTATATTAACTATTTAGTATATTAGTATAAAATACAAAGAGAACTGATCTTTGTGATATCACTATCCAAGATTTCTAAGGAATAATGATTATTAGAGGTTAATAAAGTAATGGTGGACATACTAGGTTTCATATTATTTCAAGATTGTAAAGGAAAACAAAAGGTTCTCTCCAAAAGTACATTTGATCAAACTGACCACTGAGTTTTAAAGGAAGGATGCTCAATGATGGGTTACTCAATATCGAAAAACATTTAAAAAACAGTTAGTCATTTGATACAGACACTGCTTTATGGAATACAAATATATACAAGTTCTCTCAACCACAAAATTAACTGCAACAGTCAATACTGATTCTCTCAATTAAGTCGTATGTTATAATTACGACTAATAAAATGTTTTTCGTTGTTCAATCCACCTGTGATGGTAGTTTATTTCATTCATATTCAGTGCCTGTAGGATGGAAGTTTATTTCATACATATTCAGTGACTGTATGATGGAATTCTAAGAGAATATACATATTCAGTCGACTCACTCATCTCGAAGTCAGCTGGACCAGGGAAATATTTCAAGATACCCGTAGTTCGACTGAAACGTATACTTGAACTTGACAGACGAAGGAACATACCATTTGCTTACTTTGGTAAAGCTAAAATAAATCCAGATGAATATGGGTAGGAAATTGATATGGTGGTCTGAGATCGATGGATCTGTATTTAATACATTTTTATTATAATAAAATTATATGAATTTTTGTCTCTTATTTTTTTCAGTGTACAGTAACAATATTTTCATGTGAGATTTAGCCTCGAGAGAAATTACCAATCGATCTTAGCGTGATTTAAAGTTGCTAAAATTAAGATTTCTTTTCATTTTCTTTTATTTCAGTCTTCTGTAGGAGAAAATACAAAACGATGAAAGACGCCGATTGAGTAGTTTTGAGTTAAATCACTAAGTCCTAATCCCTTCTTCATGCACAACCAAGCTAATTTATGTTACAGTTAATTGTTTTTAAAACATTTTGAATAATTATTCATAAAATGAATCGTTAATAATTTATCATGGTGATCAAAGAGAATCTTCAGTAAACACTCGTAGAAAGAGAATGTTATAAATCAATACAGTGGTCATTGACCTGAAATTTAACTACACGTGTATTGTCAGATGAACTCTTCAATCCATTTAAATCCCCGAGGTCATGTTTTGGCAATTTGAATGCTTTTATTATCTTGGGAGCGTAAATTTGGTTCGAGTCAGCCGAAATTTCGACTCTTCCCATTTCGACTCATCATGTGTTGAAATACATACATTTATACGGGATGAAAGTCGGACCATGGGAAAACTTCGATTCATCCGAAATTTAGAGTCAACCGAGTTTAAGACAACGGGAGTTAACTGTATTTATATATTTTCGAACATACACTTAGCTGTTGTACTAATAAAATGAAATGGTACACAGTTACTGCATCAGGTTCATATTTCGAAAACTACGTAATTCACTTATTATCGAGGAAACAAATATTTGTAACATCTATTATCGATGATTAGCTGGTATAATCGTAAAGGACTAACGGTATTTCAAAACCAAGTAAAAAAATCAGAAAATTGAATGATGGAGATATATTCCTTTTTCGACAGAATGTTATTTATTTTTACAATAGCACATTTAACATAACAATGTCCGTATATTCATGCCAATACCAAAGTACTTATCTACTTAGCGGGTACATGTTGTTGTTTGAATATGTTCAATACTCTTCTCCGTCGTCTACATACCTGTTCCACAACATATATTCCGTAATCTAGTTCTTGTCTATGGAGCATTGGATGAATGTTGTACAGAAATGTCCTTAATTGACGGTTTCTGTTTCTGTACGGAACAATAATAGCCACACTATGACGGGGGCAACAGTGAGATGGTTTACTTCGCCCACCAATAAGTCTCCAGGACAACATTTTTTGCAAGTCCGATAGGGACGGGGCATCTAGCTTTGCCTCTACGGCTCCTTCTGAGGAAATTGTATAACAAGTTACGGCTATCACTGATAGAAACACATACATTATCAATCATCTGTTTTATGACTAGGTTTTTAAACAGTATAACATGTTATACATGCATACATGTATTAAAACAAAATTTATACAAATTTCGAAAACTGTAAATAAGAAATCAAACAACATAATCTAAGTAGAGACACACAAAATTAATTATGATTTAACTTTATAGTAGAATTCCTTCTGTATTTACAATAGTCTGCTAGTGTCTTTTTTATTATTATTATTATTCGAAATCTATCCCAAACGAAAGATGGCTGTAACTGCATTTGGCACACTTCTTTTTTTTATTATTTGTTTATCAATGCTCTTTAACTTCGTATTTGATTAGGCCTTCCCACTGTTTAAATCTAAGCGCCACTGATGAGTCTTTTGTAGTTGAAACGCTCGTTTGGCGTCAAACATCATAATCCTCTAAACTTGTGTGACTTTTTTTTCATCACGATTGCAGTTATTTTTTGTTGCTTTAATTAGAGTTTTTAAGGTGTTTTTGAAAATGTTTCACGTTGTGAAAATTTGTATGATTTCAACTAATCAGCAAATATTTCTTTAGAAATAAATACAGACCACCTTTTAATAAAAGAGAAAAAAGACGAAGAAAATAATGACAATAACCCAGAAGATTGTCCCGCTCTAGCAAATCAAAAAAGGCGAACAGAGTGTTGCTTTAAAACGTTTGACTTCTTTTATTCCCTTACAATTGATTTCTCTGTTGCTATCTCTGTATGTGCCCGTGTAATGAGTTATGGATCATACCGATGCCTAAAATATTTCGAGGCTGTTTGATATATTATATAATATAAAATTCAGATTATCTAGGTTTAGAGACTATGAGTACTTTTCGGTCGTTACTATGTGTTTGTTTTATCATTTGAAATGTGCCTGTCAAAAGCCAGTGTCATGTAAACAACTAGTGATGTCAGCTGCAGGCCACCACGTTATTCTTAATGATTTAATACTTACTCAGATCAGGTAAGATTGAGAGGTTAATAGCTAATAAACATGTTTAATCCTATTACTAGTGTGATTACACTGTGTGTACCTGTCCCAATTAAGGATCATGTAACCAATAATATGTCTTCTTTTATTAACTGCAACTATTTTTTTGTTTGCACATGTTCGAATTCTTAATCCTGAACCAGTTTTATCTTACACATCAATGTGGGTTTTGTTATTGGTGTAGACCGTTTAGAAACTTATAGTAAATTCATTTGTCTTTGGTACTTGATTAATTGTGTAATAAGAGACCATACTGCATTTCCTATCCAATAATTTTGTTAAGCACAGCAACTAAAAAGCATGAGTTATATAACTTACCTAAATGACTTGGAACAGTGGAACACAATGGTAGAATATGCCCTTTGGACATTTTAATGTTTCTGCAAGTTTTATTTCCAGGATAAAACAAAGTTGAACTTATCGATGGATTTTGTTTATGACCATCATTATTATGTATTAGTTGTGGTATATTTGAATGCAATAATTCGAAAGCAACTTCTCTTCTGTTCAATACAACATATGCAGTTCCATGCAATAACACCAAAAACAAGTAGAATGCTAAGGATATCGTGAAACCAAGAATAAAATTTCTGATACGAAACTGTTTGTTACAACAAGGATTTCTCATATTAGTTCCAGCAAGTTGTAATTTTTTTTTTACAAACGTATATCTTTCAAATTGAAAGATTACATGTTATGTATTTGTTCAATATCATACTCGTCGGTGTATTGCGTATTTTGTTTTGATCGTTATTTTTTAAACACTCATAAAAACGTGAGGAAATAGTTTATAGGCACAACAATAAATGTACACATAATCAATAATTACTACAATACTTATTGAAATACTGGTTATTTAGAATTATGAATAGTCCCTCCATATGTACATTTGTAACTATCGTCGTAGAGAACCAGATCATGTTTATTATTGATTTGCCTAAGATGTTCAAGCCTTCGTACTGAAGGACACTAGCGCTGCTGACGAGTCTTGTGTAAACAAAACTCTAGAGTACCAAATCATCAGCTTGAAAATTTTGATGATTTGTGTATACATTTTAAATTAGAAAAATCATTCAAAGAACCGAGGCCTTAATCGATCCAAATATCTCAATACAATCCCCAAGATATAATTATCTCTTTCTTGTAACAGTATATTTATCCAATGAATCATAATAAGATATTATTATCTTTTCTTTTTAATAAATATCTTATAAATATTTAAACTTCCCACGCATGGAGATAGTTATTCTAGTCAATCAGTATGAATATCAATTTTGTTTAGAAATAAGACCATGTCGGCAAATAAATTTTTTTTATTACATAAAGGATTCATTAATTCACTCATTGACGTAAAAAGGCAACTAATATCATGACGTCATTTCCCCTGGTGTTTCGGTTTAGGTCAATATTACCAAGGCATTATCCTCATTAGGTACCCCAGCCTTACAGCAACATAATAATAATGAAAAGAACTTGGGCAAGACATCTGTCCATCTGTTTTTATCATATAAAGTAAAAAAAATATTGTAATATAGCTTTATATTCTTTATTCTATTTCAATTTAGAAGATGTTAGATATTCCTTTAAATTTTTGTGTTTCTGGTGTACGATAATGGGCAATGTTTCAAATAATTGGTTTGCTGCGCTATTATCATGATCATTTAGAATCAAGCGCCAGTGTGTTCTTATAGTTTTTCAAAGTTGTTTCACTCTAGGATTATATTTTGTTATGAACATTATGAAGGTGATTTCTCTTTAGTCTTTCCTAAATATCGTTCTGTACTTTCTCTTGTTCTTCTCATTGCTGTTGTTATAATGGGATTAATTTCATCTGCAACATAGCCTAGTTTCTGGGGTTTATCTCTGAACAATTTTATTTGTGATTCTATGTCCTCTACATTATTAAATGACCTTATATTTTCTCCTGTAGTAAAACCTTTGAACACAGAAGATGGGTGGGCTGATGATCTATGCAAGTACTGGTAGTTATCTGTTAGATTGCGATATAATTTGACACCTAAGATTTTAATTGTAATACATCTTTTTCCTTTGTACAAAGTTACATCTAAAAAATGAATGTTTGTCCTTGAAGTTTCATATGTGAATTCAATAAGTGGATGAACGTTGTTAGCAATTTTGAAAAAAATCAAGTAGTTCATTTTCATTTCCGTCAAATAACACGAAACCGTCATCCCGATATACTTACAAGTGTAGGATTTTTTAAAGCGTGTGAGAATTTCCTAGTATTATAGAGATGAATTCAAAAATTCTAAAGTATGTTAAGCTTTGCGACATAAGGGCTCCCATTGGAACACCCGATATTTGTTTATATATCACATCATCAAATCAAATTCATTGTTCTCTAGTGTTATTTTAGTAAATAAAGAAAATTCTCTCTTGGTGGGAGAGGGATTGCATATTATATGATTAAATTTTAGGCCACGTTCGATACACAACCTGAATTCAGATTTTTGTACATACTACTTATGTCAAATGTAGCTAAAATAACATTATCAGGTGATTCTATTTGTTTGAATTTGTTGTTAAAGAATATCTTGTGTATATATCCACAAAATCTATGAATTGTCCGATTTTCTCAATTTGGCTATTGCAAAGTGAAATAATTGGTCTACCAGGTATTTGTATCGTTTGAAGTAACTCTTGATGTTTTCTAATTTCATTTCTGATTTCGATGTCGATTTTGTGAATTTTAGGTATTAGATATAGTCTTCCAACTACAAGTTTTTTTCTGTATTTCTATTTCAAAGGTATCTCAGAGATATATCATCTGTGTGTGAATGTGCATGTAATGCCTTTAATAACATAAACGGTACCAATATGTCTGAACCAGATGCGCATTTCGATAATCAATGTCTCTTCAGTGATGCTCGAGGCCAAAATATTTAAATATCCAATGTTTAATTTATCTTCTATAAAATGGAACTGCAATTTGTTCGTAATGTATTCCATCGTTAAGCTGGGCCAACGCTTGTTCAATATAATTCTGTTGATCAAGAATCAGGGATGATGAGTTTTCGTCTGCATTTTTAATTATTATTTTTTTATTTTTGCTTCAGTGATTGTCCTGCTATTTTTTCTGATTTTGTTAAGTTATCCTTGAATTTTTTTAAGTGTATTCTTCCTACATTTAGTTCAATTGTTTGTTTTTTTGTTAATATATAAGTTTCTATCGCTGTATTAGCAAGGCCAAGAGTATATCCTGATTTTGTAGAAAAGGAATGATTATTTATGACAATTTATTTGCCATAGAATCGAAACTTTTGTCTCATTTTACTTGCGAATTCATCAAAGCTTTCTAATAAATTACGTTAAATATTCCATCTGAATTACTAATTGCTGTTTGGTTTTCACGAAACCGTCGGTTCTTGGTGTTTTTTTTTTTGTTTTTTTTTTTGTGTGTGTGTGTTCTTTTTTTTTCTCTCTCTCTCTCTCTTGAGCGTTTGTTAGAAGTTTTTTTTTATGACTATGATCCGCAGAAGCATTTATGTCGCTGAGGTTATCTATACCACTCCATCGATATCTCAGCTAGTGGACTCTTACACAACAAGGGAATCATCACTTCAGTAGTCAGTTCTTTGATAACGAAAGGCAAATACGGATGCTGTTTAAATTAAACTTACTGTTTTAAAATTCTGAAAATCATATTTGAAAAAAGAAATGACATAACATGCATAGCTCTGATTAATTTTAAGGGTTTGGCTCTATCTATCTATTATATATATGTATACATCTCTTATATTGGCGTTTAACATATTCAATTAATGGATCAAGTAAATATACTGTTCCAAAAGCATGCATAATGCATTTAAACTTTTCCTATTTATCCCCTTTATTTTTGTTTGTAGAATTCATTAGGCAATAGTCCATATATGTAGGTTGTT